CGTTTATTAAAGCTGGGGACAGTGAAACAAGGAAGGGCTTACAGTAGAGAGACTCGGAGGGGCTGCTTTGGCTCTAGAAGTGTTATCAGAAAGAAGTGAGCAAGGCAAGGGTGCTGTCAACTCACTGGAGAGTCAGAGAATAGGGGGCCTTGGGGACAGGATCAGGGGTTTAGCCAGGGATGAGCTACCTACATTTTTCTTTTAGATTTTATTTTTCAAATACTGTTTACATTCAATATTTTTCTATATTCGTTTTAAGTGTACAGAATAGTGGTTAGACAATTATATAATTTACTAGAGGCCTGGTGCACAAATTCATGCATAGGTGGGGTCTGCTGGCCTGCCCCGATCGGGCTGATCAAGCTGGATGGCTGGAGGGAGGGACTGCAGGCGGTTGGTCGGCCAGGCCCCCCATCAGGGTGTGTGCGGGGCCTATCAGGAGCAGGGCCACTGGGGGAGAGGCCATGAGCAGTTGGCCAGCCCCACCCACTGGTCGAACTCCCAGTCAAGGGGACAATTTGCATATTAGTCTTTTATTATATAGGATGAAGTGATCCTCCAAATAATTCAGGTACCCACCTGGCCCCCTATATATTTACTTCAATATTATTGACTATACTAGGGGCCCAGTGCATGAATTCAGACGAGATCGGGCGCGTTCAGGGTGGTATGGCCGTAGACGCAGTGCATGAATTCATACATCTTGAAAGGAACCGTGGGCCGTGAGTCTGCGGTGGGCATAGGGGTGGGTCTTAGCCCATCCTCCATGCCCCTGCATAGCCCCTCCTGCCGCAGCACCCGGCCCTGTCTGCGGGCAGCCTGCTCTCGCTGCCGCACACCCACATGCTGACGGTGCTGGTCCTGCTCACACCTGCTGACAGTGCAAAGCGATTGGGGCGGTCAGCAGGTGCCAGCAGCGGCTGCTGCCTCTATCACCCCTCAGGAGCAGGGGGACGTGGAGAAGAACTCAGGGGCAATTGAGAAGCAGCAGGTGTGAGTGGCGGCTCCGGCGCCGCTGGAGTGCGAGTGGGGCCATTGCAGCAACGGGTGCAGAGGGGGCTGGGGCCCCGATCGACCCTC